TAGTTGGCAGAATAGGTTTAATTGGCATCTCAGTGTGGAAATGACAAAGCAGGCTCCAAGCGAGACAGGCAATTTTCTGTCTAGAGGTCATTTCAAATAGGCTTCCTGCAAACTCTTTCTTTTTATTCAAACCAGGAGCTGAAATGCCACTAAATGCACACACTGGACTGAAGTACCATGTCTGGCTCCCCTTCTCCCATGCTACCTTGCAAGACTGAATCCCAGAATTTTAGAATTGAAAAACACCTTAACAAGCATCTGGTTCAAGTGTTTTATTTAATGCAATCATATTCTGTATTTATTGAGACAACTCTAATTCCTGTTACCATGTATACTCCTGGATTCATTCATGATAAACATGATGCTCAGAGAATTTGAGTGACAGGTCTGAAGCTGCAATGAAGGTAAGGGCAAAATCTGGACTGATCCAGGCTTATCAGAGCCATGTGGGGAAATTTCAACTGCAGGACTTGGGTTCTCTTGCTCTGTATTTAGAAATTTGAACTTGTTAAATGACCAGCCTGGTAGAGAGAGGAATTTAGGTTCCTGACACCAGTGTTAATACATTTTCTGAGTGCAGGTTTTAAAGAGATGAATGTTTGATTGATGAATTGATTCATTTTCCAAATGTTCGTGGAGAACCAATTTGGGGTCAGGTACTGCATTAAACATTGAGGGTAAGCTGGAGAGCAAAACAAACAAATAAAAACAAGATGCTCCCTGTCCTCATGGGGCTCACAATCCAGTGGAGGAGACAGATGTCAATCACCCTGTAACTGGAAACACTGTGACTGTTAAGGAAAGGCGTTGCTAAGAGGTCACAGAAATGGGGAGCTTAGGCAGGTTTCTCTGGGAGTGTATGATGACCTTGACCATCTCGCAGAAGAGGAGGGGCAAGAAGTCTTCAGGCTTGCACACACCAGAAGTCCAACATTTGGAATTTCCTGTATTTTTCTTAGAGTCAAGGAGACCTCTCTCTCACCAGCTTGGAAATTATATTATGGAGTCACGATTATCCTCATTTCACCTATGAGGAAACTGAGGCTCAGAGTAGCTAAGGCACTTGGCCAAGGTTAAACAGTGTTAGAGGTATACTGGTTATCACACTAACACTTCCTGACTTGCTGACCCATTCCACTTTCACATGCCCTTAGCTCAGCCTAGGCAAGACCAACCTGAGGGCAGAGCCCTTGACAAACAGGGTCAACCACATTAAGAAAGCCAAGGTGAGGCCATCGAGAAGGAAAGTCTTTTGTAAGCTCATAAGGATATAGAAAATTCTTCATATTCTTTTCCGTTTCGGTTTATCACAGGACACTGAATATATAACAGTCCCCTTTGCTCTGTAGTAGGATCGCTTTGTTTATCCAAACTCCCAGGCCTTCCTTCTCCCACCCCACCTCCCCCTCAGCAACCACAAGTCTGCTCTCTTTGTCTGCGAGTCTGTTTCTGCTTTGAAAATATGTTCATTGCGCTGTATTTTAGATTCCACATATAAGTGATATCATATGGTATTTGTCTCTTTCTTATTTCACTTTGTATGATAATCTCTACGGCCATCCACATTGCTGCAAATGGTATTATTATGTTCTTTATGGCTGAGTAATATTCCACTGTATGTATACCACATCTTCCTTACCCATTCATCTGTCAATGGACATTTAGATTGTTTCCATGTCTTGGCTATTGTAAATAGTGCTGTTATGAACATAGGGGTGCATGTATCTTTTCAAATTACAGTTTTGTCTGGGTATGAAAGCAACATTTCCTGTTCAGTTTCAGTTGATGACTTGATCAGTTTCCCCAGGAAAACAGCCTTAGCTCATGTGCTGCTCACATGTCTCCAATGGTATTGTCTTGGTGAGTGTGATAAAGCCCTGAGAGGATCACTACCCTCAACCCCAGGCCCACCACCCATGCCTGGCACATCTTACATTGTGCTCAAAGAGTCCTGAAATTAGAGCTGGGTTTGTGGGCTAGAGTTTCTAGTGAGGGCTAATCCAGCTGATGTGAAGCTTTGATCAACAAGTCACTCAGATAAGATGTAAGAAACAGCTCAAATCCAATTTTGTGCAGACTCCTTCTGGGAGCTAGAAGGGATGGGGAAGAGAGAGACACTGAAGATTTTCCCATCCATGACCTCAGGTGCTATACTTCACTCAGCTGGCGATTACTTACACCTACTGTGTTGCAGGCCTGGGAGGAGCCACAGCTTAGCTCCCTGTGGTTGAGCAGGAGTAAGAGCTGAAATCCAGGTGCCCTGGCTCTGCTAGCTCTGCTATGACCTGGGCGGAGGTGGGCACCCTTTGGGCAAATTCCTCTACTTGGCAGGAGCACTCATTTTCTGATTCACAAAAAGAGAAGTATGTGCTAGCAGAGTCAGGGCATAACATAGAAGGACCAAAACTTATGAAGTTCCTTCTTGCTTGAAGCTTACATCTAGTGAGGGAAATGAAAAATGATACCTATTCTAAAGAAAAATCAAGCAAAAGGAGATGATGGGGGCACTTTCTGATATTTTAGATCAGCTAGTGAGGAAGCTCTCTCTAAAGAACATTTGATTTTTTCCCTAAGAGATGGGAAGGAGAGAACCATGTGCAAAGGTTTAGAGGAAAAGAAGCAATGGCCCAGCAATTTTGCAAAGGCCCTGAGGCCAAAAAGGCCTCAACTTGGTGCATTTGAGGAATACAGTGATAAGACCAGTATAACTACAAGGGAAAGAGAGAGGGCAAAACCTAAAAGTCAGGCCAAATGACAGAGGGCCTCATGGGTTTCTAGCACTGTGCTGGGTGCTGTAGAGGTGCTTACGTGTTGCAGCATTGTGTTTCCTTCTAGGAAATTCCACTTTTGTCAAACAGAGAGGATGGAAATCCCATTACAGAAACACTGAACATTAGCTGCAGTGTAAAAACCATAGGGCTATTCAGAGCAGTATTGTTCACCATTGCCCACACTTAGATAAATAAATAAGCAAAATATGTGTATACATACAATAAATATTATTCAAACTAAAAAGAAGGGTGAAATTCTGACACATGCTACAGCGTGGATAAATCTTGAAAACATTATGATAAGCGAAATAAGCCTGACACAAAAGGTCAAATATGGTATGATTCCACATATATGGAGTACCTAGAACAGGCAACTTCATAAAGATAGAAAGTGGAGTGGTGGGTGGCTACCAGTGGTTGAGGGGAGCAGGGTGAAGGGTAGAAATTGGGGAGTTAGTGTTCAGTGGATACAGAGCTTCAGGTTGGGAAGATGAAAATGTTCTAGAAATGGATGGAAGTGATGGCTGCAAAACAACATGAATGTACTTAATGCCACTGAATGGTTAAAGTGGTAAATTTTATATTATGTATATTTTTACCACAATAAACAATATATTTTAAAAAGTCATAGGGCAATAAATATTAAAAATCACCCAGTAGCTTAAATATATATATAAATACTATTAAAATATAACCTTCCCTTAAAAAATTCCTTGTAGGATTGGTAAACCTTGCCTGTGGGAATGCCTGGGTTTGGTGCCTTTCCCCTTCTTTGGAAGAAGGGCTGGGGATGGTTTTTTATTAGTTTAGTTTAGTTTTTTCTTTTTAATATTTATTGTGATATTCAAGATTCCTCTTTTTTCTTGAGTTGTGTTTGGTAATGTATGTCTTCTGAGAAAAATATTGTCATCTAAGTTTTCATATTTATTTGGCATAAAAATGCAAGTTGTAACATTTTCTTACTATTTTACAATTACAATTGTGATCATTTTCATTTGGGAAAAAACCCACAAAGTCACAGGGCTAGGATCTAGGGAAGGAAGAGTGGGTATTCCAGACAGAAGGAACAGCAAGTGCAAAAGCCAAGCAGCAGGAATGTGCCTGATGCACTCTGAGAACAGCAAAAAGGTCCACGGGCTGAGGCACAGGGAGAGTAGAGGGTGAGAGCTGTTCATTTGGCCTTACAGGACCTTGTAGCTCCTTCCAGAAATCCAGTGGAAGATGGGAAGCCATTAGAGGGATTTAAGCAGTGTTGATCTATCTACCTGATCTTTGTTAAATCAGGATCATTCTGGTTGCAGCTTTCTTTAATCTGAATCTCACTCACAAACAAGAATAAGAAAAGCACTTACCTCAGAGAGTAACTGTGAGCAGTAAAGGCGGTAAGGTTCGCTGAGGGTTTAACACGGTGACTGGCATAGAGTAAGCATCTCAGTATAAGGCAAGCACTGCTGTGACAAGACCAAAGACAGCATCCCCCTGAGGAGCCGTTTTGGAGGACTTCATGGAGGAGGTGACTGTTCAACTAGACATAGAAGGAGGGACAAGGTTTCCACCCATATAGATGGAGAAGAGGAGCAGGCTTTCTGAGTGGAATGAACTGTGTGGTCCACATCACATGAAGGAAAACAGCCAGCAGCCAGCAGGGCAGGACAGAGAGGAGAGAATGTTTGATGAGCTCTGGCAGTTCAGAGGAGAAGGCAATGGCAACCCACTCCAGTATACTTGCCTGGAAAATCCCATGGACAGAGGAGCCTGGTAGGCTGCAGTCCATGTAGTCGCTAAGAGTTGGACACGACCGAGTGACTTCACTTTCACTTTCATGCATTGGAGAAGGAAATGGCAACCCACCCACTTCAGTGTTCTTGCCTGGAGAATCCCAGGGACCGGGGAGCCTGGTGGGCTGCCGTCTATGGGTTCGCACAGAGTCGGACACGACTGAAGTGACTTGGCAGCAGCAGCAGCAGCAGCAGTTCAGAGAGGCATGTGGGTTCTAGAGCCTAGGTGATGGGAGTTTTGAAGGTTTCCTAGCAAGTGTCAGGATCTGAACTATGATCGCAGAAAACTGAATCCCCATCGCCCAGCCTGGAGTTGGAAGAACTGCGAGGCAGGAATCTTCAGGACGCCGGTCCAAGGAAGGGGCGGTGGAAGGGGCGTTGCTAGCAACTAGCTAGGCACAAGGGTCTGCGACTGGGCTGGAGACCCAATGGATCAAGAGAACGCACGTACGTGGGGGGGGGGGCGGGGGGGCAAGGAAGGCAACCAAGAGGGCGCGTCGACCCTGGGCATCAGAGAGGAAGCAATTTATTAATAAACGAAGAGCACTGTAGGAGCCACAGGCATCACCGTCGGAGTCCCGCTCCTCGGCCGGCCGGCTGCAGCGCCGAGGCGGCCCGACTTCCTCAGAACCCTCACCACAGCTATGGGCACATTCGCTCATCTAATGAAATTACGTGTTTAAAGTTTTAGCCCCCAGACGTCAGGGCTAGAGAATCTGTTTTCATTTCATTCCCAAGCCTGGCACAGCTTGCCAAGGAGCTGAACAGGAGGTAGGAACCCACAAGAGGTTTGGAGAAAGGGGTCGCTCGGTGAGCTGACAGCCGAGTGCGACTGGAGGGCATTCCAAGTCCAAGGAGGCTGATCTCGCGCGAGGAGAGGTCCTGCAGAGACGCTGCGATGACCTCTCCGCCGGTGTGCAGGGGCCACAGACAGGTGGCGGGGTGGGTCAGGCTGCACTCCCCAGTCTACAGACGGCGTTCACACCTACCGCCGGGAACTCGGGGGGAAGAAAACCAGGGTGCACAGAACCGTGCGCGGGCAGCGCAGCGGCGGCCCCATTTCCCGCCTGGGAATACCAAGGCCCGGCGGCAAAAGAAGTCCGCAGGTCCTCCGGGCCGAGCCTCGCGGTGGGACGCCACAGCCCTCCTCCCAGGAGGGGAGTGTCCGGACTCCAGTACTATTTGCATATCCCCCGGGGAGCCCGAAAACTCTTGGCTGGAGTCCGGAGCCGAGGTGGCCGGGATGGACTTTGGGGGTCCCCTGGAGCGCGTCCCACGGCGCGCACCAGTTAGCGCCCAACTCGCCAACTCCGGGACTTTTGCAAAGCTCCCGCGGGCGGGGGAGCAGCCGAGGAGCGGGCCGCACCATCGCGGTCCGAGAGGGGGGAGCGGGCCGCTCTGGGTCCGTCGCACCCGGGCGGAGCGGAAAGAGCATCGAGAAGCCGCGGCCCGGGCTCACGGCTTTCGGCAGCAGACACTGAAGAGGCCGAGGCGGGACACGCAGCTCGGCGGGGCTCCCGGGCGGCGGCGTCGGCGGAGCACTCCCACCCCGCGGCGGCGGCGCTGTGGCGGAGCCCGGCTCCCCGGCCGGCGAGCGGCGGAAGTGCCGCGGAGTTGGAGCGGGGCCGGCGCCGCGGCCGCTTCTCTTCGCGGAGCTGCTGCCGCCGCCGGGCGGACGGGCGGACGCGCGGAACTGGGGGCGGCGCGGCGGGGCCGGCGGGGCGCGGCGGGGCTGACCGGCCCCGATGAGGCGGAAGGAGAAGCGGCTTCTGCAGGCGGTGGCGCTGGTCCTGGCGGCCCTGGTCCTTCTGCCCAACGTGGGGCTCTGGGCGCTGTACCGTGAGCGGCAGCCCGACGGCACCCCGGGAGGATCCGGAGCAGCGGCGGCCGCGGCCGCCGGACAGGTGAGTCCCCAGTTGCCATGGAGTTGGGAACACGCTCTCCCGGATTTCTCTTCTAGCCTCCGGTTGGTTCCTTCCTTCTCAGTCCGCTGTCTGTCTTCTCAGAGTCAGCGCCAGAGACACCTCTGTTCTTCCCATTGTTTTAGGTGGGAAAATTGAGGCTCAGAGAAGGGCAGGGATTGTGCCCGCTATTCAGAAACCGAACCAGAGCTACAAACCAGGGCTTCTGATGCCCATAGGTTACCATCCTCTTTCCTGTTCCATCCCCTGTTGTGTTTCTCACCTCTTCCAGCATCTCTCCCTTTGGAAGATCCTGTCTGCATCCCCGTATCCCAGGATGGCACCTTCTTCTGGAGGTGCCGGTCCTTCTATTTGGTGTCCAGGTCTTTTCTGCTCCCCGCCCCCCGCCTGCTGATCCCAGTGTTTCCTACTTAGGTTGGCCCCTTTCTTTTTTACTCATTTGCCCAAAGAGACCTCTGGACCTCCTTCCTGTCCACAGTATTCACCCTCCCAGCCTTCTTTCTTTCCCAGATCCGGTGGATTCCTTGGAAGATGCAAAGATCATGCTCTCCTTGGAGCTTTAAGCCCTGGAGAATGGGGGTGTTTGAGCTCCTGCTCTTTGAGGGACCAGGTGCCTTTGACTTTCTGGGAGTCCAGAAGTGGGAGCTGTGGTGGGAAGACCCCCCACCCAAATTCCTCAGAGGCTATTTGTGCCCAGGGCCCTGAGCATGGAACATCAGATGCTTTCTGTCCCTTCTCAGAGTACTACCTGTGACGCCTTCTGAACTTGTCCAGGCTGATTAGGTGTGGTGTTTTTTTTGTAGCCAGGACTGGGATTTTAATTATTTTTGCCTCCTCTGAACTCAGTTATGTACGTGTGTGTGTGTGAGAGAGAGAGAGAGAGAGAGAGATGAGTACATATAGACTGATAGCAAAAACTCTGTCACATCACTCCTACTCTCCCAGCTCCTGGCTCAGTAGGTGCCAGTCAGGATATATATGCATGAACTGTTTCACACAGTGGGACATTTAAGTTTTTCTTGTGGGATTTGTTTTGTCTCATGGCAGTTAGATAATTTTGCATCAGGGTTGAACTTGACTGATGGTCGGCAGACAGGGGAAGAGACTGACTTTGGATGGTTTGCCCTTATCTTCCCAGGCTCAGGCTGCTTGCTGTCTTATGTACAGAGGGCTCTTTATGTCAGGGCTGACCAATTTGAGGACAGCCTGTCGTTTTGGTAATTGTTGCAAACCATCCTGGAGGACCTGGTTACTCCTTCTGGGAGATCTTCCTGTTGGGAAGCCAAAGCCCCAACTCCCTTCCTAAACCCCCAGTTCAAACCCTGACAACTGACTTAGACCCGTCTCTCTTAAATTCTGTATCCATATGGGTTTTTCCTGCATGAAATCTGTTCCCACCCTGGAGCAGCATCAGGGGCAGGAGGTCAGGGTTCTGTTCTCAGCTTTACTATAAACTTGTTGTGTGTATCCTTGATCACCTCCCATCTCCCTCTCTGAGCTCTCCTTTCTCCATCTGTGAAATGGGGTCTCTGGTCCAGTTCTCTGTGATACCATCAGTGAGTCAGTGTGGAGTACAACAACCACTTCTGTTTCCCTTTCCTGAGGCAGGAGCCCTTTGTAGCATCCCTAGCTGTGAGGGCTCCATCCTGGACACAGCCCCAGATCAAGGGGGCACTGTCCTGCCCAAGTGCAAACTCTCCTTTGGAATAGCTGTAACCAGTTCTAAAATAGCTCCTGACATTCTGCCTCTGCCCAGAGAAAGCCCTCGTATTTCATCTGCTGTGGATGCCAGAGACGTCCTGATTTTCATTTTCTATAGACCCAGATGTGTAGAGAGAAGGTCAAGGTTAACTGCTGGTTTGGCCTGAGCGTTCAAAGTAAATTACTCTCTTGCACAAGAGGGGATTGATGGAGTAAGGCAGCCTTTGGGGCAGAGAGAGGGGAGCAACAGCTGGGCGCTGCTTGGAGCCCGTAACTGAAATGGACAGAAAGGCTTATCTAGGAAGGTCTAGTTCTTGTTCGTTTCTTTTGCTTTAGAATATCATGAAGGGGGAGAGGAGTCAGAAGTGGAAAAGGGATTTGGTGGTGATGGTAGGGGATTGCAACTGATGATCTTTGCTTTAGAGAAAATATCGTGTCTCCTGGGAGCAGCAGAATGGAGCTGTTTCCCAAACGACCAGCTCTTCTAGGTGCTATAGGATTCTGCATTCGTCTGCTGCCTTTCAGGAGCACTCTGCCAAGTTTCCACACAGCCCCTTTTGTGTTTCACTCTCCTGCAGATGCAGAGCGCTCGGCCTGGCCCCCAGCCCCTCTGAAAGTCAGCTGGCCTCTAGAGAGGAGGCTGACTTCTCAGAGCACTGGGGTTCCGTCTCACATCCCAGAGGGCTGGAACCTGCACAGACCACGTCAGGCTGCTATCTGGAGAATCTGGCATCTGGAGCACACACAGCTTCTTTCGACAGAGCTGACCAGTTCTGAGCTCAGCTTGTCACTCTTATAATTGCTGAGAATCATCCCAGAGCACCTCACTGATCTTTCGAGTAGAAATAACTACAGAGGCTCTGGAGGGAAGTCAGACAACGGACTTTACCCGAATGAAAACTGTATTCCTTGTGGGTTTGGGGGAAGTTTCTCTGATAGTAACATACCCACTGTTTTAGTCGTTTAACTCTTTGATTTCTCCACTGGATTAAAGAATACAGGATTTTTAACTCAGAGGGTTTATCATCTGCTAGAATGTTAAGTCTGCGTAATTCATACTTGATTATGCTGGCTGTACCACTGGAGCTGGGTAGGACAGCTAATTTGTAAAGGACACAAAATGCTTCAAGGATTTGAGCATTCCTTTGGTCGGACAGCTGGCTTCTTGGAAAGTTGCAAAACCAAACAAGAAAAGCAAGTCTTGAAGCCATCTTCATTTTAATTTGAGGGGTGCCTCTCCTTCCTAGTCCCAATCTGTGTAACATCTTGGTGTGATTGTCTGGTCTGTTTCACATTCCAGGCTTGGGAGCTGGCTATTAAAAACCCATGTTAAAGAAATACGATGCAGTCTGTCCCAATTTCTGAGCCTTAATCGCTTATGAAAATGACTTCATTGGATAATAGCAGCTTGCAGTAGAACTTGGGATAATGGAATACCAGTGGGATAAGAAGGTGGGATAATGGAATACCAATGACTTTAATTTTCAAATGTCAAGAGTTTTTCCTTATTGTGTCAGAGCTGAACTTTATTCTTAGAACATCCAGAAATCAAAACTTCCCTCCTCCTTCCACCCCCTTTTTTTGGCTTTCTGGTGGCAGACCCTTACCCATCAGGAAGTGAAGGACCCTAGTAAGGTCACCAGGGAATGATTTATCTTCCACAGAGGGGCTGGGATCCTTTAGATTGCTAATCCCTTCTCTGTCTGCTTGCCCAGCTGAAATCTGATGCTGCTGGGGAAGGGTTGTTGATTTACCTGAGCAAATCTGACTTCCTGCATTCCTTTATCATCCTAGGCTTGCAGGTTCCCTAGGAGCCCAGCGGAGGAAGGTCTGGGAACAGAGGCCTGGGTTTTACTTCACTTTCTTGCCCTAAACTCACTGTGTGATCTCAGGAAAGTGGTTTAACCTCTCTGGGCCTTAGATTCTCCATCTGTGAAGTGAGGGCTTAGGTTCAGAAGGGGAAAGGTAAATGTGTGTCAGAAGAGCATTTCCCCTTCCCTGACCAGGGCAGACATTGCTAATCAGTCTCTTTTCCTCAAAGCCCAGACTTCGCCTCAACTGTTTCTAAATGCTGCAACTTAAGTGGAGTTAATGGCATGTTGAATCTCATCTGCAATGGAGAGGATAGATACTTTGTTAGGTCTTTCCCAACTCCAGCATCCTGGGATTCTGTGAGTTTGTTTGTAAGCTTGTATTGGAAAGACCTGGTTAGTAGAAGCATGTTTAAATAGGCCACTGTATCTAACTTGTGATGAGACCACTGCTTTAGGGATATGTTCATACTCTAATGCCTTCTCTCAGACTGTGTTCAACCTTTAATCTGTTGGCTCCAGTGACACGATAACAACTAGCAGAGGCCGATTTAAAGGATAACCATCTTGCTTGCTACCTTGTCCACGGTCAGCTCTTACACAGAGATGGCATCAGGATCTCATCACTGAAAAAATGCCCTGAGGCAAACTTGGCAGCCAGTAGTATGTCCCATGGCAGCTGAATGCTCATGAGGGTGTTTGCAATGGGCTCTGAATTTTGCATATATCTGTATGCCATATATGGGGCTTCCCAGGTGGAGCAGTGGTACAGAATCTGCCTGCCAATGTGGGAGATACGGAAGACTCAGATTTGATCCCTGGGTCAGAAAGATCCCCTGGAGGAGGAAATGGCAACCCACTCCAGTATTCTTGCCTGGAAAATTCCACAGATGGAAGAGCCTGGCAGGCTACAGTCCATGGAGTTGCAATGAGTTGGACATGACTGAGCACACACACACACAGGCCATATACGTGTCAGAGTCAGCTAGGGAAGAGCCGATGCCCCCAGGAGTCCTTCCTGCTTCACAGAGAACCTCTGTCTTCATGCCCAGGGAAAGAGGCAGCCTATACGTCCCTGAGTTGCTGTGGCTAAGGAGTGCTTCATGACCTCCCCTCCCAGAAATGTCTTAAGAGTAGAAACCACATCCTCTTCTCGCACATAGCTAAAGCCTTGGCACTTGGAAAACAGTCAGAACGCGTTTGCTAAATGATCTCTGCATGTCAGAGCAGGAAGGGTGCTACAGAAGTTATCTAGTTCAAGCCCCGCCTATTGTAGGTATGGAAACTGAGGCCTGGGAGAGGGGCTGTCAGTTGCGAGAGGGAGGGATGCAGACAGAGCCCAGTTCTTCTCTGAGTTCTTCTCTGAGTTCTTCTCTAGCTCACCACGCTTATTTTTCCCTTTGACAAGGAAAATTTTTTTTCTTAATACTTGATCCTTCTCTACGATTATATCCTTCTTGAGCCAAGATT